GGCAGGTCCGGGCTACCATTTTCACAGAAGGGTTTGAGAAGAATCAGTAGTCGCATCTTTTCTTGTCGATGCGAATTCCTGGTCCCCTTTGTCTTTTCTCAGTAAACGTACAAGATTGTGAAGGTGATGTATGCTCCAGCATGGTTCAACAGCACTTCTGAGCACAGCACGGTGTCCCCCAGATTTGTCAGCCAACGTTCAATGGTTGTATGGTGAATGTTTGTGTTTTCATAGTAGGCCGTTTGGGACATGAGTCTCGGTCACGGTAGGCTGGCTGCCTTTCGGCAGTGTTATGCTGAGCCGGGATTTGAAAAAAGAAGGGCTTCCGAGACAAGTTGGACTTGTGGCACAAGGAGGGCGCGAAATGCCATAGACAAATAGAAGTTTAAGTGCTCGGCCCACCTGCAAATTTGGGTGATCATGCGCGCTTGTGTGACTTAACCCGCCCCCTTCTCGTTCTTGTTCGTTTGTTGTGGTCACCACCCATAGTTTATGAACCCGATTCCAAGACGAGTGAGTACAACGAAGGCTCATATTTAGTTGCAATGCTGATTTTTGTGCTCGTTCGTGAATGGCAGAGGCGCATCATGGGACATCCTGTGACCACTGCTCATTTCAATGACAGTTTCCAAAGAACGTTGTATGCATTCCCCCGGCAGGTTACGAGCTCGAAGACATGGCTGGCACTCGGGGCTCTGAGCAGCGCTGTCGAGCTCAGTGCGCCGCCCGATTGGACTGTGCCGCCGTGGAGGCTCTGGTCATAAGGGCTGCCTGCAGCATAGTGGCCATGCAGTGGAAGGCATGTTGTTCATTCGGGAAGAGAATCGTAACATAGTTGTGTTGTGGTGGTCAAAAAACGCAAAGCAGCAACCCATGTTGAGGCAGAAGGGATGCTAGCATTTGTGCAGGAAGTACCAATGTTATTAGATTGCGGCGGGCCACTCCTTGTGTTCATGTCTTGTGGGGTTCAGGTCGTACACTCCGGGCCCTCGTCTGGCAGCTGCATTTTCCACAGCAACATTTGGATACCCACCAGGCAGGCGCTGAAAGTGGTTCAACTGTGTACACTGGCCCGACAATTCCAAAGAGCAGTGACTCATACGAGGTCTTTGGAAGACGAGCGCGACTGCTTTGTGCGGGAGGGTCAGGCCTGAAACTCCCATGGGTCCATGCCTGGGATGTTATGCGGTTCCCCCAAGCACAAACAATCTTTACGCTCTAGCGTGACACATTTCTTTTCAAGCAATTCATCGAACACGTGTACTAAGGGACTAGGTCAAGGACTTCTGCAATAGCCGAGATTCACGAGGAAAACCGATAGGACACCCCACCCAAAACGCAGACACGGATTGCAAAGTAGCATCGTAAAGTTTCGGACATGAGTAAAGCAACGCCTACCTCTTTGTAGTTCGCATAAGCAACAAAGACCCTCCCCAACTGGGTGTGGCGATGGACTTTCCAGCAAGTTTCGGCGAATGCTCGTTTCGGCTACGGTAGGGAATGATGGGAATGGTTTGAAACTTAGGGATGGAAACTGGAATATTGATGGGAAGAAAAAACCCACCCGGGCCGCCAAACAGCTTGCGCAAAATTCCAGACAGTCTTCTGCGAGAGCGGCCTACCCCTCCACGACGTCTGCTGCAGCCCGGAATGTGGCATCTGCGGAGGCGACAAATGCTCTTACCGCCCTGGTGGCCGATGCTTGCATGCCTTTGAACAGCGTGCGGCAGTGGTGTCGTTGGAGTTTCAAGTTGTTCCATACTATGCCCACGACTAGAATGCAGTCAAAAATCAAAAGTGGCTTGGGAGGTTGAGCATGCTTGGTCCAAGGGAATGTTAGAAATTTTGCGATTGGCAGAACAATGCAGAACAGCAAGACCTGTACATATTACATAGTGCTGCAAGAACCAAGGATCCAAGTGTTGTGCCGGCGCCATCAGAGTCCTGCGACACCTGTGTGCAAACACGACAGAAGCCTGGCTAAGGACCAAGATAGGGTCCAAAGCCTTTCCAGCATTCGCGCAACGTGTTTGGATGGAGCTGAGGATGTGGCTTGCCGGATTCCGAGGCCTCTTTGGGTTCTCTTGCTCCCGAAGCGCACGGCCCGCATGGTGCTGATGTTCTGGTATTTCTATTCTTGATTTGAAGGCCAAGGCGCAGCGGTGTTCCTACACTTCGGCTGACGTTCGAGAGTCTTGGCCGTTCTGAGGAGGCAGCTTTCTGTTGAGGTGCAGTTGCATGAGTTTCTGCTGAGGAACGAGACTGGAGGCCAGTTTACCGTGCCGGATCTGCAGTTGCCTTGAAGCCGCTGCAGCCCGCCTGTGCAAGGGCCCAACGCAAGCGAAGATCTGAGACCATCGAAGACGGTCAAGGCAGATAACTGGATGACAAGCATGGAAGTTTATTGGCTGAGAGAGAGCTCTCTCCGCTGAGAGGTCAGCGGCTTCCAGCCATCAACGACCCTCTCACGTGCTGGAGGGACCGCTGCAGACTTGACTGGCGTGCCTCGCTTTCAGGGCTTTGCCAATGCTGCCAGATCCTGTCTTTGATCTGTTCTAGCTCACTCTCATTAAAACTGAGCTTCAGAGTGAAGTAACCTTCTCTACAGGCTGAGACTCACTCCTGGGTGCCGAGATTGCCCTTCTTGAGGTGAACACTGGCATTGAGATTAGAAACTACGGGCAATGGTTTACAGCAAGCTCAACGTACATGTGCTGGATCCGCCCCACATTCGTGAGGCCATGTCTCTAGAAAGTTTCATGCAGTGAGTGGCGCTGGCAGTCATGTTCCAGTTTGCTCGGTCAGCTCCTGCTACTGACGAGAGGGACCAAAGCTGGTATTTCATCTTTCGCAGCAGCGGCTACACGATGCACAATCCGGAGGACTTGATCTTGTCATTGTTAGAGCAGCAAGGGGCAAGAGACGTCGCAACGATGGCCGCAACCTTTGCATGTGTTTAAATCTCTTGTAGCATTTGCCTGACGTCACATGGTACACATTTCAGTTTGGACTCTTAGCTAGTAGCTTGGCTCTCGACCATGCTAGGACGGCAGCTGGGCGGTGGAGTTTCAATGCAAAGAGGACAAGGCCCCCCCAAGAACTCGGAGATGTCTCAGAAGCATGGCCTTGTGAAACCGCTGCTTCGAGGCACGGCTGATGATTTGGACCCGGCAGCCTGCCGGCCTCGGAGCCGTGGCCACCGAGTTCAAGGCCAAGAGCCGCTGGGCCTCGCGATGGAAGCTCCGCCTGCAAGCATTCGAACAAAACGAAAGAACTCCCAACAATGACTTGCTTTTCAGGGTTCATGCAATCATGCAAGACAAGAGGGGCGCGTCTCTTTAAGTGTCGGCATGTCTGGAGCCCAGGACCCATGTGGCTCGGCCCTCAGCACTCCCTTGCTCGTCCTTTAAAGTTTGCAAAGGGCTCGTTCCAACGTCAAGGCAGTGGTCATGCGAGTAGGGGGCGCCTTCCCGCAGCTCTACCTTAATGGGCTTCCAGAGGATGTGGAGGACACACTGGCGGAGTGAAAGTGGAGCGGTCGCAGGGATGATGTTAGGGCGGTAGGTTTGCGGCTGTGCAATGGAGGACAGCTCTACTCCTTGGTCTGAGTTGGAAGACATAGTGTACAACGAGAATCAATACCTCATCATTGGCAAGGCCAGATTAGGTGGCTCCTGCAAGCTTTTGCTTGCAGCCTTGAATCAAAGGCTGCGGAGACCGACCAGCAGTTTGTACCCTGGCTGCAGAACCTTTGGCCCTGACTCTGTCAAAGAGCCTCTAGATCCGCGTGGCACTTGACTTCTACCAAGGATGGTTACATCGACCATTTCGAGGTGTACGAAGAGGTTCTTAGCCCGCAGTTCATGCGGAAGCACTACAACACCATTGAGGCCGCCAAGGATGAAGGACCTTGCTGGGCACACTGGAAAAACCTGCCACCGCTGCCTGCCTGCTGCGCGGTTTGCATGCAGATTGGCAGTGTGGCAGGAGAAGAAGCCGTGATTGTCAGTCAACTATGCCTTCCGCCGACCGACACGACAGGCAGGAGTAGAGCCTGAAGGTCGGTGACTTCTCTCTGTTCATTCGCAGGCTATGTCATTGAGAATGGCAGCACGGCCCGGAACAGCTTCGATGTGCAAGCACGATGTGATGACGCAAACGGGCAGCCAGCCTGTCATCTGGTCTTGCAGTTGCATCAACCAGAGAGATGTGCAAGGGGCTGCAAGTGATGTAGCAGAGACCCACACGTATTCTCTCTGAGCTGCTGCGCTGCTTCACTGCTAGGTACGGAGGCACTGCCGTTGTGACTCCCTGCTCCATGACCTCCAAAAGATTTGTCCTCAGCGGCTGCTTGCTCAAGGAGCAGCATCTTGGCCATGAGAAAGTGCATCAAACGCGGCAGATGCAGTTGCTTCTATCCTCACGTCCTTGACTGCAAGGTGCCCGTCAGTGGACTGCCTTGTGAAAAGCTGACAGACGACGTGGCAACTGCACAGAGCAAAAAGGGAACTGAAAGGGGGATTGAAAGGGCCTAAGGCAGCAGAGAGAGCCAAGCTTTCACTAGCAGCCACTGCGCCTGCAGACGAAGTCCCTCTGTACATCTCTGTACACTGCCAAAAGCGCCCGGCCTGCCAAGGCCGCCCCTCGCCGTTCTGTCCTGATCCCTGCCGCCCAGATCCCAGACAGCTGGAGTCATTTGAAATTCAAGTCCAACAAAAGCTGTTGGGCCAAGAATTTTATCTCCGAGGTCCTGGCTGTTGTGGTGCTGCGATTTAGCCTGGCCTTCCTGCCGGCAGGGGGCACAGCAGGGAATCTAAGGATGAGAGAGAGGTAGCAAATTACTAGTGAATCTTGTGGCCATCTTGGGTCTTGTAAAGACAATCCGATACATTCACGTGGAGGCCCGGACATTTTCTTATGAGCAGTCCGTGAGCAGCGGAAGAAGTCCTAGCATGGTCCCAGTCCCCGGCTGCGGCTCCACGCATCCAGCCACAGCTGCGCGCAGCCGAGGCTCAAAAGTCCAAGTCTGTTTCGGGGATTTCGGTTCTTCTGTCCTCTGGCTTCCACATTTCCAGGCTGCGGCTATCTCCACAGGCCTGACCCTGGCGGGAGCCACGCCCGCCCTGGCCACCTGGAGCGAGGGCTCCGAGCCTGGACAGAACATCGATCCGGCCAGCGCCTGAGAACTTCTTGAGGCTTCTGGTGGACGTGTTTGAAACCAGATGGAGCCAGTTTGCCTTGAGGACTCCACGGAGGCGTACAACCGCAAGGCAGAGCGGGAGAGTTTGCAAAGCCTCCTTATGACAGAGTTGACACTGCCAACATGTCGGTTGCTTGAGGGAGGGGAGGGAATGATTGGCAGATCCTGAACGCGACCGCCATCTGCCTGACTTTTGCCGTCTTCCTGGTGGGTCTCGTGATCAGCCAGGCCAAATCCAATTCAAGACATTCAAAACTTGGATCCTCTCAAATCTTCAAGCTGAGAACTGAAGCGAACTTCCCTTTCCCTGCGATTCTCGGGTTCCATCCCCTTGCGCTTTGTCAGATGTCTTCACGGTCCATGAAAGAACTGAGCAACAGGCCCGCAAGCTGGTCGAGAACAGGTGGCTGAACTGAGCGGCTCATCTGAATATGCGTGCTCAACAGCCTGAGGCAATCTGTCCATGTCGATATTGGAGCTCAGCGAATGAGCTTGTAACAAGTCCTGTCAGAGCTGTTAAGCTTGTGCCCCAAGCTTTCGTGGACAAAAACTTGCACTCTCCAACACCACATCTTAGCCAGCCCAGTGCCCTCCCTGGCAGATGCAAGGTGGGCTCTGCGAGGCAGCACTTTTTGACTCGGCTGCAGGTGCCGAGTACACTAGCTTTGCACGGGAAGTGGGAATTGAAGTAGCGTAAGGTCAGAAAGTGTTCGCTGGGCATGATCTGCTGCCAGGACTGTGGAGCGTACTGGCTTGAGCGAGCCAAGACGGGATTTGCAGCCCTTTCCCAGCCCTGAGAAAACTGTGCTTTTAAATGCAAATTGTTGCTCAATGTGATGAGGGTTTTCAGGGTCCTTGTAACGAGGATGCTTCCTTCATACTTGAAGTCTGGTTTGCCGTTGGGCCTGGGTTTTCCAACTACCACGTTTTCAACCACTTAGCTTGAATGTCACTCTCCTGCATTTCCGGACGTGTGTAAGGAGCACTGCATTTTTGGAAATCCCCACATGAAGATGGCTTCATGAGATCTGCTGCAAGTACAGCAATCCAAGATTTCTGGACCTGACGCCAGGCATTTTCGCAGTTAGGTGGAGCCAAGCTTCAACCAAACCTCCAGCAAGCACAACCAGTACCTTGTACTTGTACCTCTCATTGCTGCGTCTTCGAAGGTAGCCGTCGTACATATCAACAACTGCATGTCATCCTACTGAGAACGCCTTGAGCGTGCATCCCTTGGGGACGGATTCCTTGGAGCCCGCATGGCCCTAATCATGGAGAGGAGCGCGCCCTCCACGGCAGCTGGGCTCATGTAAGGTTTTTCTGTGACAGCTTTTGCACAGCAAGATCACTTCGCCTCAAGGCCGTGCGGCCTTGCGCTGCTCCCACGCGGGTGCTGCGTAGTCTCTGGCCTTCAAACCCCGGGCAGCCAGGGGCGGGGAGTGCCTCGACCAGACTAGGATGCAGGGAGAGTCACGTGCTAGATGCAAGTCCATCCTGATTGTTTGTGGCCGTCGCTAATGCCAGGCCCAGCGCAAGCCAGCGGACTTGTCCAGCTGGCGCCAGCAGCCATAGCCTTCAGCTTGGCCTTTGAAGGCCGCAGGCGAACCAGGCCATCGTTGAAAGTAAGACTGATTGCTGATGCATGTCTGCAAAAGTTTGGCCGCAGATTTCTGAGATGGCTGGGTGCAGGGCGTTGCGCCGGGCTGCCAGACGGGCGCTAGAGCCTGGCAGTTCACCAGAGACCCGGATCAGAAATTTTTCCATCATTGCACACATTGACCACGGCAATTCGGCAGCAGGTGAGCGGTGCTTGCATCACAATAGCTTCACGTTTCATTGTGCAAGCTTAGGCAAATCCACTCTTGCCGATCGCTTGCTGGAGATCACCGGCACGGTCACCAAGGAAGACATGAAGCAGCAGCTGCGCCACGGCTGGCCTAGCCAAAATGAACCGAGTCACGCCCAGCGAGACCGAGGCTTGACAACATGGACATCGAGAGAGAACGAGGCATCACCATCAAACTGAACACTGCTCGCATGGACGTGAACGAGAACGGTGAGGACCATGCGATTTACTTCTTCAGTACGTCTGGGCCTTTCTCGCATGTGCACATGTCTTGTCTGTTGGAGGACTATGTCCTGAATCTTATCGTGCCTCGTTGGAAATGTTAATTGGATGTTATTGGTGCTGCAATTCAGCAAGTCTGAACAGGTTTGAGGTTTCGCTTGCTTGAGATTCTCGAAAGGTTCCGCACAGCTTGAGAGGACATGGCGACACATGTCGACCCGTTCAATTTGCAACCTGAGCCTTAAACCTGGCGTGTAAGGACACGCCTGGCCATGTCGACTTCACCTACGAAGTGAGCCGGTCGCTGGCAGCCTGCGAGGGCGCTCTGCTCGTCGTGGACGCCACGCAGGGCGTCCAGGTGCGACCCAACTGCCACGAAGCCTTGCGGTCTTTTTCCGACCTTGAGGCCCAGACTCTGGCCAACGTCACTTTAGCTTTGGAGGCAGACCTCGCGCCTGAGCCGCACCCAACAACTATTCAGAATTGATCTGAATTTTGGGAAGAACTAAAGCAGATTGCTGGGGAATTCCATTGTGTCCTGAGGAGATAGTGCCTGTCCTGAACAAGTGTGACCTGCCTAGTGCTGATCCTGCTCCTTGCCCGCATATGTCTGCAACTGCAATCTTGCGAAGGAAAGCTGAGCTGAACCAGATTCTGCCAGGATCGTGTCTGCCAGGAGATCGAAGATGTTGCCAGAGCCCAGGAGTCTTGCAGAGCTGCATGGTAGGGTGCAGGTACAATCATGGCAGACCTGAGGTTGGAATCGACTGCAGCAATGCTTTGCAGTGCTCGGCCAAGACCGGTGAGGGTGTCCCGGCAATCATCCAGAGCTGCTTGGACTTCAATAGCGGCATGTTGCACCAAACGTATTGATAGACATGGTAGTGTCAGAGGCAGTGAGCATGAGGCATCATAGAATGCGTGCCAGCACCAACAAAGTCCGAGCAGTCGCTTATGCGTCCTGGCCCGAGCATGCGGCTGCAACTTCAGTGGTTGTGTGGTCTTGTGGCCCAGACACAATGAAGGACTGCTCGTGTTTGACAGCTTCTATGACAACTACCGGGGTGTCATCGCGATGTTCCGTGTAGTGGATGGAAGTATCTCCAAAGGACCGGCGGCAAGTGTTTGTGTGTGTAGGAAAGCTTCCATACCGGAAGATGGTCGTGGTCTTGTAGCTGCGCCTCATGCCACAGGACAAAAGATTCGTTTCAAGAATTCAGGCAAGGAGTTCCTTGTCGAGGACCATGGCTAGACTGACTTCAACCTGACATGCCACATGGTGAGTACTTTGAAAGGCACTTCAAGATCCCCATAGCGACTACAATTGCACGTTCCCAGAAAGCCTTGCATTTCCGATGAGAAGTGCATCTAACTAGGTTTGACACCCAGAGACTACGGACCATCTTTGTGAGCCTTGCTTACAGTGAGCTGGCACAGTAGACATTCTTGATATGGAGACTGGTACGCTGCAGGAAATTGGCATCATGCACCTTGGCATGTACTCTCGTTGTTGTGGTGCTGATGTACTCTGTCCAGCTGGAAATTCACAAGTAAGGGCATGCGCAATACTTGAAATGCCTGTTGCCTGCAGACGCTTTGCTCAGGATTGGAGGTGCCAGAAAGCCCGTTAAGAAGCTGGGTGTGGGTGAGGTCGGCTACGTGTGCGCCAACATCAAGACGGCCACTTTCAACAAATGGGCATTCTAGTGCATGCTGGTGCCTTCATGCCTTGATTTGAAGAATTTGCAACGCCTCTCGGTGAGGTCGGCGATGCCCGTGTGGGTGACACCATCATTGAGGCCGGGACCGAGGACCAGGTGGAGGCCCTGCCTGGCTACACCGAGGCCCGCGGTGCCTGATCCCGTAGTCAACCTGCCGCTTGAAGCTGCGGATATCATACCTCAGTATGCAGATGCATGCAGTTAGAGCATTCAGGGTGTGTCTTAAAGACTTCTCGTCCTTTCATTGTTTGGCTACGCTTGATATTTGAAGGCGCGCAGTTCAGCAGCACTAATTCCTCAACGTCATGGTAGAAGCCGCTCCATTTTCTTCCAGAAAGCATCCCTGGTACACAGGCCACCCCAATGGTCTTCTGTGGTGCCTGGGCTTGATATTGTTGACTCAAGTATAGCAGACAGTGCTTCATCCCAAATGGGGTTGCCCAAAATTAGGGGTACCATTACGGCGGTCCCAATATCAAGGATTATTTGGTATATCGGGCTCTAAATTGGGGTCCCCCTATTTAGGGAAACTACCAAGTAGCCCTTTACAACTTCCCAGGTCTCTTCCCGGCCGTGTCGGGTGATTACGACAACATGAGGCGGGACTGGGGCCTGGCTGCAGTTCAGGGACTCCAAGGGTTATGTGGGAGTTATATTGGGATAATCTAAAATGCAAACTCCCATAGCATATAGGGGTTCTATAGGGATTATGGAGAATAGAATGGAAAGTACTATTTTATAATGGGCTGTATATTGGTAGATTATAGTATCTGAAGTGATGATGGGCCGGAGGCCTTGCCTAAGCATGGGAGTACAGCCTTGGTCACTCCCTAGTCTCCATGGCCATAGTGCACAACCCCTGCAATTCTACTATCCTTTGACGAAGGGTCAGTCGCAAGAGGAACGAAGTGCTCCGAAGTGCCTCTACTGTATCCAACGGGTTGTTGTATTTCTTGATCATGGAGGAGCGCCTTCGACAAGCTGAGCTTGAACGACGCGGCCTTGTTCTACCAGCCAGAGAACTCGGCTTCTCGGCTGCGGTCAGAGGCTCTCAACAAGTCGCAGATTTCACTTGCCAGTCCAAGCACTCGGAAGTGGAGGTTGGCCTTGCGCGGGGATCATGTTATGCTTGGAATGGGACTGGATCCAGTTCTGTTTACTTCGAAATTCCATGATGCTTGATACGTGTGACGTAGTGCCCCAAAGGTCTTGGCTTTAAAATTCTGGATACAAGGAGCACCGGCCTTTCTGTGTATAGATGATAATCTCCCTCTTGACGTGGCAGCTATCTAGCTAAACACGTGGTGGCGCCGGTGTAGCGCTAGCCTCACGGAAAATTTTATGGCATGTATGACAGCGGGAGGTGCTCCAATCGCAGTTAGAAGTGCTGCCAATATTTTATCTCTTGCCAGTTACCAAGATGTTGCATGGGTCTTGAGAGACCTGATTTGTCTCAAAATACGTGCGACGAATACCATAACAATCCGGGCTTGCTTGGCCTCTGATGGGTAATGAGACGGCAGAAGGCAAGCTACAGCAGGCAGTTCTACTGCACAAATGCTTGCATGATAGCTAGCAGATGTAGAACCCCAAGGAACACTTCCCAAACACGTGCCTGTAAATCCTCTGAAGGCTGAGAGAGCTGTAAGCTGCGTTGGGGTCGTCGAATCAAACATCAAACGGCCTCTCAGTCCTTGAATGACATGACCAAATCAATCGACGACAAGCATGCTAATGTAGTGTTGCACAACGTGCGAGGCCTTTAACCATACGAAGTGAAACATTTTGTCGAATGATGCTCGGCAGTAATGCCTTGCATGTTCATGATTTTTAGGCTGTGGGTTCAACATGACCATCGTAGCTTGAGCACCAAGGTCCCTGAGGACCCCAAGGCATAAGCGCATGCGCGGAAGCAATGTCTGTTTCTTCAAATCATGTTATCGCAGCTTTGAGAGTCGCTTCATCCGACACCAGACCCTTTACATTCCCAGATATCCAGCATTGTCTGTATGCTTTTCCTGCAGGAGGTGCAAGGTACTGTAAGACTACAGAAGCCTTGTTTGATCCCCAAAAATGTGCCAAAGAGCCAAATGAAGCGGTGCGCTAGGGTGACTTCCATCTAAACACGGGTTAAGGTTTGACATAGTTGTAGGTGTTCTCCTGCGACCCTGTTTGGATGACTGGCTTGCAGCAACATACCTTAAATGGTCGGGACACAGATGTAGGAAGCCCGTAGACTCTATAAACGAACCCTGAAGGAGTTGTTGTGAAAAGCCTTGGGCATTAGATTCGCATCAACTGCAATTGAGGCTGCGCTGGGCCTTGGCTTTCGCTGCGGTTTCCTCGGCGTCCTCCACATGGAGGTCGTTAAGGAGTCATAGCCGCAAGACTAAAATGCAGACCTTGTGCTAGTTAGATTGAGCTTACATTGGGAAGGAGCGCCTCGAACGGGAGTACGATCTCGATCTCATCGTGACCGCCCCATCAGCACCTAGCTTGAAGTTGGCCACTAGTATGATCAGAGCGCTTCCGCACAAGAGACCAGCGATCAAACGCAGAACAGCAAGAGGGAGGCCAGATCGCCATGTAGAGTGTCTGCAGGGCATTTGAACTGACAGGCATACAGTATGAAGAAAAATCCGCGTTCATTGCTTCATCTAAGGTAGAGTATCAGCTGGAGATGAAGGATGGAACTGAGACGACGATTCAGCTGCTGGGCTTTAATCTTAAACAGATGTTGTAGCTCTTACTTGCCAGCCCTCTAGACGCACTGCCATGAGATGCCAGGTTTGCAAACATGCTTCCACCCCCAATCGAGATTGCAGAGATCCGTGAGCCATACTGCCTGCCTCTTGACCCATCTTTTGAAACGAGTCAGATGTATGATCATGCCCAGCTGTGATGTGCAAGCGATTGGCCCCTTGCCGCTGGAAGGCTTGAGATGATTGTCCCGGAGGAGCATATGGGACCCTGCATGGAGCTGGCAGTCCAGCGGCGTGCAATCTACAGGACTCGCCAAAAATGGTCCACAGGAGGGCGAAAAAATTAGTATCTTTTGGAGCCGCCTAGCAGGACAACGAACTTCCTGACGCAGGGGCGGGCTTTGCTGGAGTACGAGCCGCTCGGCAAAAGTGCCAACAGATTCTTCAAACTTGATTGCCACTTGTGATAAAGTGCTTGTACAGTG